TGATGGTGGGAAAGATTGAAGGCAAAAGGAGAAGAGGACTGCAGAGGACGAGATGGTTAGATAGCATCACCGAAGCAATGAACATGAAATTGAGCAAACTCTGGGAGGTAGTGAAGGACAGGAAGGTCTGGCGCGATATGGTTCATGGAGTCACGAAGAGTTGGACATGACTTAGCAACTGAACAAGAAGAACAAGAAATACATTAAGAAACCAAAATAATGATTTCATTAATGTTGTATAAATATGCATATGTTTTAGTTCTCTCTATCTAATCCTCTACAGGTCTCTGTCCACGAAGACCGAAACTGATCCTTCTTTCCAGAGGGGTGGCATGTCAGAATCCTTACAATCAATCACTTGTGCTGCTAGTTTGCTTGCTTCTTTTCTGCCGTTACAGAGAGAGAGAGGGAGGAAGGGGGGGAAGAATGGGAATGTGAATTGTTGGGCGCAGATGAGCTGTTATCTCACTCTCAGGAATGCCCAAGGTTGTACCAACATGAGAACCTGAGGACATCTTCAATATGCACAAGAGAGATTCCAAGACTGAAGGGGGGGTGAAATGGGAGTGAGGTAAAACTAGGTTTTGGCGCGCGCGGGACTCAGTTCCAGTTATGCCCTACAGCTGTGCACTACTTTCTATTAAATGAACTTTCCTTTGAACCTGCATTGGTTTCAATGAGAGTTGCTTTCATTGGGAACTGAGTATTGCAGTTCTTACATTGGTTTCTCAGATCCTTCCATTGTTGGCGTTCTTCCCAGCTTTGTGACTCAGCACAGTGATAGCAGCCATGTCTGATATTGACCTCAAACTATAAGACAAAGAGGAGATATTTCTAGTCACACAAAATTAATCTCAAGGTTGATTGGGGAGGTAGGGATTGAGAATGTAGAAACATTGCTTCCTTCTTTACCTATGCTGGTTCCCAGGCAGTCGCAAATTAACTTCAGAAAGGTGTTGACACCTAATCATCTGTTCCGTCCAGACATTTGTTATCAGCCCCATCATCTGTTCTTCCCTTCCCACAATGTATTTTACATTCAGGCTTTTTTAATACTGATGTGACATGGGAATTCTCCCCAAGGATTTCCAGCATCCAAGCGGCCCTCACAGGTGGTGGTTGAAACTCCATTTATTGACTGCCTTTGCTTTCCTCTCAGAGATGCTGTGAAGATGGCCAGCACTCTTTACAACCAAGTGGATGAAGGAATCCACCAGTTGGTGCTGGTTTCAAACAAGCGCATCCAAGCTCTGGAACTGGTTATGGAATTTGAAGTTGTGGAACAACACTTTCAAGAGGTTAGTGCCAGATATTTTGCTGAATTATCAGATGGGCAACGTCAGGCTGTCAAGGGCTGCACTGAATTTTGCAGAGTGGGGGATGTGATGTAGAATAAGCAGGTGGGCCTTGAATTTTCAGTTTTTTCCAGCTTGAGGATAATGTGGGGGTCTTATTAGGCAACATCATTAAATTACTGCCAGTTTGCAATGACAAAAAACAATTTGAAAAAAAAAATCTCCCCCAGTCTTCTAAAATTAGTGTTTAGAGGTGACAGGAGTAATGGCTGTATGCTGCATTCGGTCTGGAAGTAACATTGGTATTTATTTACTTAGCTGCTCTAGGGACCCGTTGGTTTGTTGCTGCTGTAGTGGCCTTCCTGCTGCACAGTGACATCCCTGCCTGAGCTGCTGGATTATCTCTGAGTCTCTGAGGCTGCTAATTCTTAGAAACTTTAACTTGCTCTCATGTGGCCTTGACTCTGGAGTGACTCAGGAGATCATGGCCACCTCTCTGATACAGGCCAGACCCATGTATTTTTATGGACAAAGTCTGATTGTCCACAGATCTGGCATGAACTGGCAATAGCTGGAAGCCAAGGCACCCAGCATTCAGCCCACCCCCAGACCCAAGGGGGGGGACAGCAGACGGGCTGGAAGTAGGAACTGGCACTGCATTTCTCCTAGGTCTCCTGTCAGACCTCCTGTCATCCATCAGTTTGGATATACACTTCCCCACTCTTACCCTGTGAGGCTCCACATCCTGATTGGAGCAAGCACACCATACAGACATACATCTCCACCATTGGGGGTGGCAGTCTAGAGTCCCATTCCTACAACCATCGCTCTTGTCCCTGCATCAAACTTCTCATCCACAATCTACCCGTAGCCATCACTCCTGTTATCTGAGTCTCATCCCTGGCACTCCACTCACATTAAGACTTCTCTGTGGAACTTCCACCATGCTCCCACGTGAAGGAAGACAGTCTCCCGCTGCCCTTTCCTCTGACCCTGCAAGTGGCTCCTCTCTCAACCTCCCCTTCATTTTGGACTTGTAAAGGAATATGGCAGAGGTAGCATCTGGGCTTGTTGCAGAGTGTAGTTCCTGGTGAGCCTCACTGTGATGTGTATCGGGGCTACTAGTTGGGAGCTGTTCTAGATTTAATGGCTGGCTGGAAGCAAATATACTGTAGCTCTACTATCCAAGGTCCACAAAAGAGAAGCATGATGGGCCAGGATGTGCTGTAGCAGCAGGACAAACCGCTTTCAGCTGAGAGCTAGGAACAGTGAGCAGCAGTCTGCTGTTTTCCCTTCTGGGTCCATTTTCTAGTAGGTTGCTCTCTGGACCAGTGTGGACCATGTGGAGTGTTTTTAACTTCTTTGAGTGCGTATTGTACTTTGAGGGATGCCCAATTTAAATCTCATAGTTGTGTGCCTCTGTCAAATGGAACTGAATAGATGGAATTATATTGTGAGACTAAGCTGGACTTTGCGTAGTAAGTATGTGCAGTATTTGTAGTAACTTTAAGACCGCTGGATTATTTTATAGGAATGTCTAGAAAATGAACCTGTTGCATGGGCAAGTCTAAAGTCAGATTGGTGGTAAGATTGATGGTAAGATAAAAATTATTGAAGTCCTTGTTGAATTTTGCAAAGTCCCAGGCCTGAGGTTAGTGTGTTAGTGGAGCTCCTGTTGTGTTTTTTGACTTATAGGTATTTTTGTCTGAGGTGTTGTGCTTTGTTGTTATGTTTTTAATTGTTTTAACTTTATTGAAGTTGTAAACTGCCCAAGTCTTTTGGAGTGGGGTGGCTATAAATCATCATCATCATTATCATCACCATCATCATCAATGGTCCTGATCTATATTGCTGGACCCAGCAGTCTTGGGACAATTTTAGCCAATCTCTAGTCTTCCCTTTTTAGGGAAGGTTGTTGAGAAGGTGATTGGACTCTGGCTTCAAAAGGGCCTGGAGGAAATGGATTATCTTAGGCATTTTTAGTCAGGTTTCAGGCCAGGACATAATACTGAGACAGTGTTGACCTTGCATGTTGATAACCTCTAGTGAAGCCTTGATGGGGATGATGCAACTGTCCCAGCTGTTCTTGATCTTCATGTGAACTAGGGAGGGGCCTGTCTGAGATACTTACTCAAAGTAGTTTCTTGGAATAATAATAACAACAACAATAATAAATTAGCCATTAGGGCACATCAGAATACAAAATACAGAATACAGAACAATAATAAGACCATGCGTTACAAAACAGAGTAAAAGGCAGAACTAAAAGGAAATGCAAATCATATTTCTCTGTCGCCCCTACAATTTACCCCAATCAAATCCAGATATGCAGTTCTCAATTGTATGGATTTGTCCAGATAAAGAGGCATGTTGTATTTGGGTTCTGACCACATATGAAATATCTTGTTTTAATGTATGGATCCCAATGAGCCATTTGTTTAATGTGTGTTCCAAGATCTCTCTCTTTCTTATACAGTTGACATTTAAATAATATATGTGCCATCTGCTAGTTTCTTGGAACAGACGGAAGCCTCACTTATCTGACCATTGTCTCGGTGGCAGCTCTTCCTCCTGTCCTTCAAGGCCATTCCCTCACAAATAAATCTTTTCCAGAGATCAGAACAGCCAAGAGTTTGAACTAGAGGAGTCTAGTTCTTGTCACTGACATACCTGAGCCGGCATTTTTTGCCTCCTTTTCTTAGATCTGCAGCTGGATCAAGAATGTTGGCGAAATGCGCCTCCTAGAGCTGAACACCCTGGACAATTCTCTGGATGGCCTGCTTCAAGCCCAAAGGCAGTTCCAGGATTTTGCACTTGTGGCAAATGTAAGTTCTATAGTCCACATATTCTCCCTCCCTTTTATATACTGTTTCCTATATTAAAGCATGTCCATTTGTTTACAGTAAATATAATAATAAAGTACATAATTCAACAGGGCATTAAAATAATATAAAACTACTAGACAACCCAATGACCCATGGGTCATTGTTTCAGAGAGGCTTCCTTACCAGATTCCTCAATGCCTTCAACAATGGCAGAGCTTGTAATGTATTGCCTTCACTGGAAAATTTCTTAAAAATTCAGGGATGTATCTGCCTTGAAAATAGCCCATGTCATTCATACTGAAGTGTATAGCACAGTCAAACATCAGGAGTTGATTACAGGAAATGTTTTATGACATTTTGTATTATGTCACTAAATGTTTTATAAAATTTGCCAAATTTCAATTCCACTAGAGTCATGGGTCCTGGATTTTGGATGCATTCTGTAAGTTAGCCCATTTGAGGTACCTTGGTTCAAAAATTGTTGACCTATGATGCACTGTTTTGCCCAGTTAAAGGTTACAAACAGAGACATGAGAGTTTTAGTAGTAATAGATTGATTGAATAAAAATAAAATATGTTCATTAAAAAAGAAGGAGGAAGGAAACGTTCATCTTGGGAAGGCTTGGATGAAGAGGTGAGGTTCAGCAGGTGCCTTAAAGTGCTTCTTGTAGGTGCCTCCCAATTTTCTGTAAGATTCACCTGAATTGCGATGTTCAATAGAGCCCAGGGGTCAGGACTTTACTTCCCACCCAAAGATGTAAAAGCCATAGGCATAGAGAGGCTGGCTGTAGTAGAACTGGGAGACCAGCCTCTTCCTCTGCCCCTCTCTAGGCTTTAGTGCATCTGGCAGCCACTGCACACATGACATGGTACAATACCAAGAATTTTGACAGATGTTCTAATTGCAGGGATGAGGAGGCCAGAGATAGAGTTGGCAGAGTTTCAGTAAGGGAAGTGAAAGGTCTCCTTAGCAGGAGTTTAGGCCTCCAGCAGACCTCAGGTGGAAGAGACGAGACTCAAGCATGGGAAGTGAATGGGGGACCCTGGGCAAGAGAAATAGATTCTCCAGGAGGTCAGTGATTTTCTGGCATTTACAATTCTTGGCCTGGGGCTGGCTGGGAGGTGTGAAGGAAGAAGAAAGAAAGGTTCCCTTTTCTACCTGTGGTGTGGCTTCTCCCCCTTCCCCCACAGAACTGCCCCCCAGATACACCTCCAGATGCTGGCAACCAACATGAGAAATGCGGCTTTTTTGACAAAGGAGGAAGGTAATTGTGTAAGGATGCAGCGGATGGATCTTTTTCATTATATAATAATCATTTTCTGTACACCCCCACTCTGGATTTAGCCCATCTTTCTAGAAAATTAGGAATTGGCATATGGAGGGCCTTCTCAGGAACAGCACCCACAGCAGGGTCAGCTAAGGATCATTTCACAATTGATGGCCATCCAATAGTCTGCGTGGTATTTCTGTGCTTGGCTGAGGAGCCTGCTCTGCTTCGCTTCTAGGAACACTGCCAGAAGGGATGGGAAGCTCTGAGGAAGTGGGACGGGGGCAGGAATCTGTTCACCGTGCAACGACCTGCAGGCTGCGGAGTCAAGCTGCAAGTGTACAGAAACCAGCTCCAGGGATTCTGCAGACAGTTGGAGGCCAGCAGGAGCCGGATAGAGCAAGCAGTTGACTTCTGTGGATTCTTGGAACAGGTGGGTTCTTCCAGAGAGGAGATGCAGCTACAGTACTTTTCTCTACCTACCAGAAAGAAAAAGAAAAGAAAGGAAAACGAATAGGTTGGTCTTTTTTACCCCTAGTGTAGGCTGGCAATAGCCGAGCAGTCTCCCCGCATTGCTTTGCTGGTGAGAACCACCCGGCCCTGGCCAAGCTCTGGCTGGAGAAGAGGTTTTCCTTTTCCAAGCTCTTGAATCCCCTGGGGAATGTGTAGCTTCATCTGGGATCATTGCCAAAGGAACCCGAGTCCCACTGGTTGTATCACTCTGGCTTTAAGAGGAAGTGCATAAAAGCACGAAGGTCACAGTGGATCTCCTTTACTTCCATTCTCAAGGTGTGATCTGGAATAGTGCCTTTGCCTGCCCACGTGTTTAGCAAATGTTCAGGCTAGATTAGGAGCATGCGAGCAAGAACTGAGATCAGTTGAGAATGGGACCCAAAGGGAGACTTGGGGGATGTTCTCAATGAAAAGCCTAAGCAGGAACAGCTGTCAGTGCATCCAAGCATTTGGATAAAAGTAGCAGCTTTGCCGAAACGAAAAGATGCTGCCGAGCTCTTGCCTGAGCTGCCAAATGCATTTCAGACGTCACAGGGTCTTGAGAGGTTTGTCTTCCAAGAGTTAGGCTGGGCTATTTCAAGTTGCCTGTGCTTGAAATAAATATACACTTGCACTCCAGAAAGAGGCCGAGGGAAAATGTTCCGTCCTGGGACCCTGTAAAGCTCTCAGTGGCACACCCCCGGAATCATGAGTTTTCTGCCCCCACTTAAGCAGGAATCGAAATCACAGCACCCCAGCCCCAAACAGCTGGCTTGAATACTTCCAGTGCAAGACAGCATCCACTTCTCTGGTTCATTGGTTCCAGTGCCACAGTGCTCTTCCTTTGAAGCATTTTATTCCTTACATTCCATTGGCATCTGCCTTCCTGTAGCTTAAATCCATTATTCCATGTCCTGAAATCTTGGCCTCTCTAGAGGCCTTTTCAGAACAAGGAAAATGATGTCCTCTCTCACCCGACTTACCTGCTGTCCTTAAGACTAAACATCTCCTCTCTTCAGAAGACTTGCCACTGTGGAGGACATTCCCAGGCCTGCGCTCTTGCAGGGGCTGACAGTAGCACATGTGACGTTTCACATCCACGTACAAGATTGTACGGAATATGGTGCAGAACTAGCAGTCCTGCCAGCAGGAGAGAAATCGTGAAGACTGTGGGGCAGGGGGGCAGAAACAAGACTGCTCCAAGCCCTGTTTTGTCCCTGAAGAAGCCTTGAGAAGGCTCAGGGCCTGTCTGTTGCAGCCGGAAAAAAGCCAAAGGAACCGAGTGCTCTTTTCTTGGCCACAAAGAAGGGGCTTGTTGGTCCCTTGGGTACTTCTTTTACTTCCCACTCCAGCCTCTAGACCTGCAATTGCTTGGAGTTGTCCCACTCATGTATCGAGCACGTCTGGCCCCTCTGTTTAACTAAGTACAGGGGGTGTGTAAGGGTCACAGCTGAACCACTTCTAGCCTTGCTGCCATGCTTCTCAGACTTCTCTGAGCACTCTTCCTTTTTAGCTTCTGCTGAGCTTTTTTCTTGTTCCACCCCCTGCAGGCTAACACATGGGCAGTGGAGGGGATGCAGTTCCTTTCCAGCATCAGCGTGGAGGACTGTTCTGATGCTGTTGCGTGTCTGCAAAACTACAAGCAGCAGCACCCAGGTATTAGCGATGCCCAATTCCAAAAGATGAAAGAGCTGGCCTGTCTGCTGCCAAGCAGTGATCCTCTAAAGAAGTGGCAGCTTGTCCGGTCCAAGTGCCAAAAGACAAAGCTTGGCTTGGATATGAAGCTAGAAGCTGCCCTGAGGATCTGGCGACCTCTGGGTCCTCCTGACTTGAAGCCCTCAGAAGAGGGAGAGTTCAGCTTGGCCAGTCAAGACAAGAGGAATGCTCAGGCTGAAGCTTCCAACATGGCACCTCTACCTGAAAAGCCTAGTCAACTTTCTGGATGGACTGGGAGCAAAATGATGGACACTTACAATGAGGCTGGACAGGGCCTGCTCCAGGTTGCTTGCGGCCACTTGTGTAGCCTTGCTGTTGACATACCTAAGCCATCGTGCAGTGTCTGTGATGAAAGAGCCATTCTGGAAGCCCCAGAGGCAGCCCCTTCCTCTAGGCAGCTCTTTTGCAAAAGGAGATGGAGGAAGGCCCAGAGTTTTGACCTCCCCTGCTTAGAGGGCCGTCAGACGCTGGGTGACCCAGGTCACTGCGGCAGCACCAGTGTCTTGAATAAAGGCTTGGAATTCAGCAGCACTGAGTTTGTGGATGGACCCTATAAAGACCAGCAGTGCCTTGGCCCAGCAAGGTCTTCTGCATTCAGTCTGCAAGAGGAGCAGAGAAACAGGGGCATTGTACCAGAGACAAGAAGCTGGAGCAGGTAGGTTTGGGCTATGTTCCCCCAGCCATGCCAGTTGGTTCAGGTCTGGCTGCGGACTGACATGCACAGCAGCAGGAAGCTGATCTCAAAGTCATCTGATCGCACAGCATCCTGGCCGTGGTTTCTTAGCACGGCCACAGACCAGTTTGAGAGAGATTGCGGCACTTGATGTGAGAGTATGTGAGGGATAATTTGGAGGAAGGGGAAAGAACTAGAATCAAGGATAGATTGGCAGGGCAGGTGGCAGCTTTAACATGGGGGAAAAGCCATTGTGCCCAGCTTCATGCAAGAAATTCTGCAAGGCTGCAGCATTGTAGCAAAGGACTTATTTATTTGTATTGTATCTATTTATAGAAGTATCTTTACCTCTTGTCAGAGTTTCTTGCCAGAGTTAGTGGCACCCAAGTAGTTGAGCTTGTTCTTCCAAGGAAAGCTGTTGGCCTCTTACTTGGATTCCATAATCCACATCTTTCCAAGCCCCAACAGTTTCCTGAGAAATGCAGACCTCCAAGAACGGAGCTGCCTCCGGTCTATGGATTGGAATATGCCAGCCCTCTTTGCTCTTGTTTCTAGTGTAGCCAGGGCTGGCTGGCAAGAGACAACTCCAGTGGATGATGTTGGTTGCCAACTTGGATGGTCCCCAGCGTGCCATTGTGATTGCTCTGCAGCTTTTAGGCTCTTTTCCTTTGACCCTTGGAGGTGCAGATGACCCTGCCTGAAGGTGGTGGCTGGATACAGAGCTATGCAGGCTGTGAACAATTTGTGCTCCCCTTTCTGTGTTGCAGCAAACCACAGCATATCATGGGAGAGATGGTGATGACAGAGCAGGAGTACGTGCGATCTTTGCACTACATCCTTGACAACTATTTCCCTGAAATGGAGCGGATGGACCTGCCTCAAGACCTGAGGGGGAAGCGAAGCGTCATTTTTGGAAACTTGGAGAAGATATACAACTTCCACAGCCAGTATTTCCAGCGAGAATTAGAGCACTGTTGCAGCCATCCTCTGCGAGTCAGCCATTGCTTCCTGAGACATGTAAGGAAGGGACAGGGCTCCCAGTGGAGGAGATTTGGTAGAGAATGTTGGTGCAGTGGAGAGGACAAGGGGACTTGGCAGCTGAGGGCCACTTCAAGGGAGAAAAGGAGCTGAGCAGATGGGCAGGGTTGCAGCAGAGGTCCCTTCGGAGTGCAGTTGCTGCTCAGGAGGCCTGTGCAAACAGCACAGTTCCCTGCACTTCGAACAGGAGCATAAGACAGATAGTGGCCCCAGGAGGAGGGCTAGAAAAGCCACTGCAATGGCAAGCTAAACCGGGCATATGATTTGTTTCTTTCACCCAGTTTTCTGCCTGTGGACCATCATTTCCTTCTGCCTCCACATTGGACATTGTGTTTTTCCGGCCCATTCGCTCACATGCCTTCCCACCATCCTCTTGGCACCAGCGTCAATTTGGTCACAGGCTTGTTAGAGAATGCATTTCTCTAACCCATTTAGTCTTTTTTCAGTGGGCTTAGAAAACCCCCTGGCTTGTTCTCAATACGTCAACCTTCTTCCTGATCTTTTTTGGTTCGTGATGAATTTTTGTTCAAAATGGTCCAAGTACAAATCTGTCCACTCTGGAGCAAATTTGCAGCCCATGAATGTCCCTGATGCATGCTAATAAAATTGATATTGAGAATAAAAAATGGATCCTTTGTGGTGCTGTCCTTGCCAAAGAACAAATTAATTATGCAGGGAGAGTCTGATTGCCAGTACTAGAATTTAAAGTCATATTCATAATATCTAAAGTTAAACCCCTCCCTGCATGCAAAATTAAATGTAAGACCTATCATAGGGGTTTGTGGAAGGATTTTTTTTTTTTTTTTTAGGGAAAGTAACAGGAAGATAGGTTGGAACATGTGATATTTTCCATGAGCAAGTCAGTAATTATGGGAGAATTAAAAATCTGTCTTTCTGTCTATCCTGTGCCTGCTTCTGTCCCTTTCACTGATAGCATAGAGTGATGGTGGCTACATTTTGTTTTCCTACCGCCTGAAACAGTGTCATGGTACCTGGAGGTGGAGATAAGAGCCTCACTTAGACTGTGTTTCTACCCTTTTTGTAGAAAGACCAGTTTGGGATGTATGCCTTGTATAGTAAAAACAAGCCCAAGTCTGACTCATTGCTGGCCAGTCATGGGAACGCTTTCTTCAGGGTAAGTTGGGCACACTCCTTCCCAAAAGAGTGATGGCTTCCCTGTCCAAGTTTTAATGCTGATGCTGTATGGCTCAAGGGCACAGTGGCCCTTTCTGAGTTCTGGAGATCTTTCCTGCTTAGATAACTCTACCTTGGCCTGCAGGTCAAGCAGATGCAGCTGGGAGATAAGATGGACCTGGCCTCCTACCTCCTGAAACCCATCCAGCGCATGAGCAAGTATGTTCTCCTCCTCAAAGACCTCATCAGAAAGTGTGGGAAGGCACAAGAGCAGGATCTGGCTTACCTGCAAGCAGCTGAGGAGATGGTGCGCTTCCAGTTGCGGCATGGCAATGACCTCTTGGCCATGGATGCCATCCGGGACTGTGATGTATGTATTCACAAATAATGTTGAAATTGTGGGTGTGAAAAAGGGGACATTCCTCTGGACCTAGCACAGGGCTATTGTTAAAGGCCAGCTGCTGCCAGGCTTCAATCCCTCCTCTGTCTCCACAAGCCATGGACCGATGTGGTGAAGGAAGAAGTTCACCATGTGTCAGGTATGCGTTTAAAGCAGAGAGCTGCTGGCAGCAAGTTCCAGAAGATCCATCCTTGTCACATGGAAATGGGACTGAGGCCTGGTTAGGACCTCCTGCTGCTCCTCTGGGAAGGGGAAGAGCTTTGGTTTCACCTTGTTTTTGTTCAGTGGCACCATTGGTGTCTTGCTGACTGGGGACCTGCCTTGTTCTATGGGTCCCCAAGAATAATTGACATCCTGGCTCCTCTGCCTAGGTGAACCTCAAGGAACAGGGACAGCTGATGCGCCAGGATGAGTTCAGCATTTCTCTGGGCCGAAGGAAGTGCCAGCGCCACGTCTTCCTCTTTGAGGATCTGATCCTCTTCAGCAAGCCTAAGCGAGTTGAGGGGGGCCTAGATGTCTACATCTACAAGCGTTCCTTTAAGGCAAGGAAGCCTATAGCTTCTCCAGGGGGTCTGCTACAGTAGGTACTGTTGAATAAGGTTGGTGAGAGTGAGCAGGCACAAGAGAAAAGCAAGAGTAGGCACTGTTGTCTGTAGTCAGTTGCACTTGGCTCACAGATTAAGACACCATCTGTTGTGACCAGATGTTCAATATGTCTCATGCCCAGCTTTTCTGCAACTCCTCCTGCAGGGCTGCATTTTCTAGATGGATCTTTGCATTTTGCAGGACTTTTGAGGGAAAGATGGCAGTGTTTCACCCTGTCAAGTTGGCTGGAGCTGACTTTCTCAGAGTACTCTGCCTGTCTTATAGCCACTCAGTGCACAGACCACCAGACCTGCCGAGAGGTTCAAAGCAAGAGTTGCCTCACAGATATCACGGCTTCCCTCTGTCCTGGCCTCCCCACTGCATTCCTCATACACTGTGAAAGTTCCCCGCAGCCCAGCAGGCAGCCACAGCTGCATCTTGCATGATAGACTCTCATGTTCATCCCTGCAGACAGCAGAAATTGGCCTGACAGAGAACTCCGGGGACAGCGGCCTGCGTTTTGAGATTTGGTTTAGAAGGCGGAAATCAAGTGATACCTACATCTTGCAAGCCAGCAACCCAGAGACCAAGCAGGCCTGGACAAATGATATCACCAGGATCCTATGGGAACAAGCTGCACGCAATAAAGGCAAGTTTCCATACATGCCAGAGAGAAAGGCTCCTTTTTTCAGCATCTGCCTTTCTGTAGGCCCATTAGAGTTATAGGAATATGATTTAGCAGGCATTACAGGTAGTCCTCGGGTTATGACCACTTGTTCAGCAACCATTCAAAGTTACAATGGCACCGAACGAAAGGTACTTACAACCGGTCCTTGGAGTTCTGGCTGTCACAGTGACCCCGCGGTCATGTGATTGCAATCCAGGTGCTTAGGTGCTCAGCTCACAGTTATGATGTCTCAGTGAGCCATGATCCATGATCACAATTTCCAACATTCCCTGCCAGCTTCCCACAAGCAAAGTCAATGAGGAAGTCAGAAGCTGCTCCCACACCTGCTTTTTCAGCCACCTGCACTCTGTAGCATCTGCCAACGGCACCCACCCGTCCACCAACGACCTGTGCAGTCCTGCGGTTACAACGGCAGCTGGGACTGCTGGGATTGCCATCACTAAGCAATGTGGTCACGTCATCATGTTTTATGACTGCATCGCTTAACGATGGAAATTTTGGTTCCAATTGTCGTCATAACCTGAGGACTACCTATACTGAAACCTGGTGGGATGAAACTCATGGCAAGAAGGCTGAGATTGAAGACCGTTTCTTATTTAAAAAGAATAGATTACCCAAAAGGGGAGGATGTGTGACATTATGTGAAGAAAGCAAATGCATATTGAGATGCAAGAATTAGAACATGAGGACAATAGAATGGCTTGCAAGGTGCCTTCTAGATGAGAGAGTCTTATTTGCACAGAACAGTGGGAGCGTACTTGAGGGAAAACTAGATTAGGGTTAGAGACAAAATGTGTCCCAACTGACAAGTACAGGCCATACCATTAGCAGGGAATACTGCATGTCTTGCAGGCATGACTAAGGCTAGTAACCTAGTCTACATTTTCCCTTACTGAAAACATTACATAAAAGTTTGACTGACAAGTTTTGTCATCTGGTGATCCATCTGGTGATGACCACAGCATATGAAAGATCCCCAACTGGAATGTAAAGAGGGTAAATTGTAAAGAACATGGATGAATGAAAGATACATCATGTGTTAGTGAAACTGAGGCAAAAGAGAAGGGAGTAATAGAACTGAATGAAGATGGTCTGATTATGTGGAATGCAGTTGATGAATATCTACATAGAAGTGAAGGTGTAATTAAAAATGAAAAGGCCTTTTCACTCTCCTTTCTTTTTTTTCCTCCAGTTCACCTGACATTCCTTTTTGAACTCCTTGAAGTTGCTTATCCTTCTCTGGAACCTTTGCCAAACTTCTGTAGTTACCCTCTCAGCTAATTACTTAGTGGGCCTCACCTCCAGCCCCAATCTTATTTATTTATTTTATTTATTTATTAAATTTGTATGCCGCCCATCTCCCCCAGCGGGTGACTCTTGTAAATCTTGTAAATTTCTTTGGATTTCAGCAGGACCTTCAGCCCAACTCTCCTTTTCTCAAGAATCAGACATTATCCCACCACACTACCACTGTCAGAGTCTGCACGCTCAATCCCAAAGTTCAGTAAATCCTCTGGAGACCAAAAGTTCCATCAGAGATTTCTTTATTCAGGAGAAGCATACAGCATCATAGTTTGCTGAGTCTAATTCTACATAGCAAAGCCTTGTCCTTTTAAGCCCGACTTCCCCCCCTACCCTTCTAGGTTTCTATTCCCGCTTGCAGCTCTTCACGCCTTGCCTCGGTTCTCACACCTCCTGGCCTTGGATGTCTGTTTCAAGATAGAGATAACGGCATCTGGCCTCCTCTCCCCCCTTTTTATGGCAGGTCAAGCAAACGGTTTAGAAAAACATTCCCACTATTCCACTATTGATCTATGGTTAGCAATAAAAG